AGAGACCAAAAGGCATTCGCCTGTATGCAAATGTGCCGTAAGGGCAAGTGAATGTTGTTTTCTCTTGATCCCGGGGATCTATGGGGATTTGAAAGAACCCCGAGTACCCATCATGAAAACAAAAGAAGGGGTGGTTTGCAAGCCTCTCTAACATCTGATCAATGAAAGGCAAAGGAAAATGATCCTTCCTAGAGGCTGCATTGAGCTTTCTATAGTCTATACACATTCTGTGTCCAGTTACAGTCCTAGTAGCTATCAGCTCATCCTTCTCGTTGTTAACCACTGTGATCCCACCTTTCTTGGGCACAACATGAACAGGAGATACCCATCTTGAGTCAGAGATTGGGTAAATTATCCCTGCCTCAAGAAGCTTGAGTATCTCCTTCTTAACCACCTCCTTAAGGTTGGGGTTAAGACGTTGTTGATGCTCAATAGAGGACATTGATTGGTCCTCTAGGTGTATCCTGTGGGTGCAAATGTCAGGAGAGATCCCTCTAATATCAGACAAAGAGTATCCTATGGCTCTCCTGAACTTTCTTATCTCACTAAGCAATGCACTCTTTTGATGCTCTAATAAGCTATCATTGATGATTACTGGATATGTGGAGTTTAAGCCCAAGAAAGCATACCTGAGCCCTGTTGGTAGAGGCTTGAGCTCAACAGGGGGTGCATCAGTCTCATTCCAATCCTTGTCCAAGCTACATTGGCTCATTCTGCTCCTTTGATAGCCAAAACCTCAGAGCCACTTTGTTCCAGTTCCAAAAACCTTGCCTCAGGACTAAGCTCTCTAGCATTGTCCAAATACAACTTGTACCCTTCACTTGCTTCTGCTAAGAGCCCATTGTCTCCTTGTTCTTGAGTTAGAGCAGCTTGAAGAGGATCCTCAGTGTTCAGTTCCTCAAGCAACTCATCAGCCAACTGAATCCATTGTCTCCACATAGAAGCATTGATCTTCAATGGTGGGTTTCTTTATCATCTCATTCACATCAAACTTGAGCTTCTCAGACCCAAGTTGAAGCTCTATTATCCCACCTCTCACGTCAATAATAGCTCCTGCAGTGGCCAGGAATGGCCTGTCCAAGATAAGAGGATCAACTGGTTCCTCATCCATTTCCAGCACAACAAAATAAGTTGGAACCTCAAAACCACCAATCTTGACAGGTAGATCTTCCAACATACCAACAGGCAATCTAACTGATCTATCTTCAAGGATAAGAGAAATCCTTGCAGGTTTGAAGACTCTAAAGCCCAGCTTCTTTGCTATGGAGAATGGCATCAAGCTGACTGATGCTCCTAGATCACAAAGACATCCAGAGAATAGAAGAGGTCCAATGGCACAATGGAGTGTGAAACTCCCTGGATCAGTCAACTTTCTTGGAATGGACTTCTTCTGAATGATAGCACTGCATTCATAACTTAGTACCACCATGCCTTGAAGCTCTTTAGTCTTGTTCAGAATGGCATCCTTCAAGAACTTACCCATCTTTGGCATCATTAGAAATGCATCAATGAGAGGCATTGTGAGTGGTGTCTCATTGAGTGCCTTCTCAAATACAGCTCTTGCCTTGTCCACAAGCTGCTTCTTAAATCTCCCTGGAAATGTAATATGAACCTCCCTGAATCGGCACTCTAGAGACTGGATTTAACAAGCTTTAACTTCTGAATTTGTAACAAACTGAGGGGCAAAAGGAATGGATCGAGGGGTCGCACAAAGGCTGCGGAAGACCTTTGATTTACCGGTTTGATTCTGAGGATATTACACACCTAAGAATCGGGTGTTTGAGAGATATGACACACTCACAAACTAAGATGTTCAAAGAACAAATGATCTTCACTTTAGAAAAGGTTTTTAGATAAAAGAAAGATGGTTTCTCAAATGAGATTACAAGAGAATATAAAGGATAGAAGAGAGTCTCGGCCATCAATATGCATACTTAGGAAATACAAGTGTGAGCTGTCTAAGTTGAATTCAAATGTCTTTTCACGCTCCTCTTCTCTTGGCCGAATCTCTTGGGATAAACTTAGTGGACCTTATTGAAAGGGTGATCCAACCTTGCCTCATTAAAAACCCATCACTAGAAAACCCATTGGGACAAAACTAGTGGTGGGGAAAAAGAGTACAAGATTGGATCACAAGTCCACTAAGCTTCTAGGACTTGGATCACAACCAAAGTATTTGTGTTGAACTCTTTTCCCTCTTGAGCCGAGTATTCAGCTTGCCTTAGAACTCCTCCTATATCCTCCTTAAGCTTCTTGGTCCTTGATCTTGTCATGGGGCCATTCGGAATAACTAAAGCCTCCTCTTGCTCAGCTACAAGCTCCTCAGCTACAAGCTTTCCTTCCTCAGGTTCTAGCTCTATGTCTTTAGTGCTGTCCATGATCATATCATCCCCCCCTTCTTGAAAAGGATTTGACCTCAAATCTGGATCATCTGCATAAAAAGGAGCTAAGTCAGCAATATTAAAACTCGGACTCACTTTATACTTACCTTTGAGATCAATATGATACGCATTATCATAAATATTTTTTGTGATTCGAAAAGGGTCATCAACTCTTGGCATGAGCTTAGATTTCCTTTCGGCTGGAAATCTTTCTTTTCTTAAGTGCACCCACACGAGGTCTCCTTCTTCAAAGACTAGCTTGCGACGACCTTTGTTGGCATGTTTAACATACTGCTTTGTCTTCTCCTCTATGTTAGCTTTAGCCTTCTCATGAATCTGATTTATCAGTTCAGCCTTCTTTTTGCCATCTACACTTTCTCGTTCACTTATAGGTAAAGGAATTAGATCCAAGGGAGATAAAGGATTAAAGCCATAGACAATTTGGAATGGAGAAAACTTAGAGGCAGAATGAACAGAATGATTATATGCAAATTCGACATGTGGCAAACAATCTTCCCAAGTTTTGAGATTCTTTCTAATCAAAGCTCGCAACAATGTAGATAGGGTTCTATTAACTACTTCGGTTTGTCCATCAGTTTGAGGGTGACAAGTAGTTGAAAACAATAATTTAGTGCCTAACTTAGACCATAGGGTTTTCCAAAAGAAACTTAAGAACTTGGTATCTCTATCAGACACAATGGACCTAGGCATACCATGCAATCTTACGATTTCTTTAAAGAACAAATGAGCTACATGTGATGCATCATCAGTTTTGTTGCATGATATGAAATGTGCCATTTTAGAGAACCTATCAACCACAAAAAATATCGAATCTTTGCCAGTCCTAGTTCTAGGTAATCCAAGCACAAAGTCCATGGATATATCGTTCCAAGGATGCGAAGGTATAGGTAAAGGGGTATACAAACCGTGAGGCTTAAGTGTGGACTTAGCCTGTTTACATGTTGAGCACCTTGCACAGATCCTTTCCACGTCTCTCTTCATGTGTGGCCAATGAAAATGGTCTTGCATTACTTTCATGGTTTTAGCAATCCCAAAATGCCCCATGAGGCCACCTCCATGAGCTTCCCTGACTAGTAAATCTCGAATAGAACAGTTAGGAATACACAGGCGATTATCAAAGAAAAGAAATCCTTCTTGTCTAAAGTATCGGCCACTAGCAAACTTTTCACAGGCTTGGTATATCTCTTTAAAATCAGTATCAGAAGCATACATATGCTTTAGCTGCTTAAAACCAATCAACTTAGCATCAAGAATAGAAAGTAGAGTATACCTGCGAGACAATGCATCGGCTACAACATTGTCCTTACCTTGCTTATACTTAATGACATAAGGAAAGGTTTCGATGAACTCAACCCATCTGGCGTGTCTTTTATTAAGCTTTTGTTGTCCCTTCAAATGTTTAAGAGACTCGTGATCGGTGTGTATGACAAATTCCTTGGGCCACAAATAGTGTTGCCATGTTTGAAGAGCCCGAACTAAAGCATATAGTTCCTTGTCATAAGTTGGATAGTTTAAAGTGGATCCCCCGATTTTCTCACTAAAGAAGGCTATAGGCTTCTTATCCTGCATCAAAACTGCACCCATGCCTATACCAGAGGCGTCACACTCTATCTCAAATGTTTTAAGGAAATCAGGAAGAACGAGTAAAGGGGCAAGGGTGAGCTTATCCTTTAGGACCGTAAAAGCTTCTTCTTGTGCTGATCCCCACTTGAATCCCACATCTTTCTTGATGATCTCAGTGAGAGGCGCAGCTAGAGTGCTAAAATCTTTGACAAACCTCCTATAAAAACCTGCGAGACCATGAAAGCTCCTTACGTCTCCAATGCTCTTAGGGGTTGGCCATTCCCGAATTACTTTAACCTTTTCCTCATCTACTTTGATGCCATATGCACTCACCACAAATCCTAAAACACAAGGTTATCTGTACAAAACGTGCACTTCTTCAAATTTGCGTAAAGCTTTTCATTCCTAAGCACATCTAGCACAGATTTCAAAGGAACAATATGCTCTTCCAAGTTTTTGCTATAAACTAGGATGTCATCAAAATACACAACCACAAAAGCTCCTATGAACGCTCTAAGCACATGATTCATTAATCTCATGAATGTACTAGGTGCATTAGTTAACCCAAATGGCATAACAAGCCACTCTTATAACCCATGCTTAGTTTTAAATGCAGTTTTCCATTCATCCCCTTCTTTCATCCTAATTTGATGATAGCCACTTTTTAATTCTATCTTAGAAAAGATACTAGAACCATGTAATTCATCTAGCATATCATCAAGCCTAGGAATGGGGTGTCGATACTTCACCGTGATATTGTTTATTGCCCTACAATCAACACACATGCGCCAGCTCCCATCTTTTTTGGGCACAAGTAACACAGGTACGACACAAGGGCTCATACTCTCCCTGATATGTCCCTTCTCCATCAGCTCATTCACCTGCCTTTGTAGCTCCTTAGTTTCCACAGGATTGGTCCTATACGCAGGCCTATTAGGCAATGATGCACCGGGCACAAAGTCAATTTGATGTTCTATGCCTCTAATGGGTGGCAACTCTTTTGGATTATCCTCAGGAAAAAACATCTTGATATATCTACAAAAGATCATTCATTTTACTCGGCAGAGCCGGTGCCAGGTCAGTAATATTTGCAAGTGCTTTTTTAAACACAAATAAGAGGATAGGTTGCTGTAAAACAAGAGCTTTCTTAACATCACCGGCCCGTAGGAAGAAATTAGAGGATTTCTTAGGTGGCTTCTCTTTTTGCTTCATTTGGACCTGATCCTGATATACCTCTTGCGGTTTTAAAGGAATCAATGTGATTTTCCTGCCATGGAAAACAAAAGAATGCTTATTAGTAAAGCCGTCATGTAAAACTTTTCTATCTGATTGCCAAGGTCTTCCAAGAAGAATATGTCCAGCCTCCATTGCTAGCACGTCGCGCAGAACCTCATCTTCATATTTCCCAATAGAAATAGGCACCAAGACTTGTTTCTGAACCTTCATTTCCCCGATTTCATTAAGCCATCGCAACTTGTAGGGTTTCGGATGCTTGGTCATCTTTAGTCCAAGTTTATTGACTATCTCCTCACTAGCCACGTTGGTGCAGCTTCCTCCATCAATAATGAGGCTACAGACTTTGCCTTGGACCAGACAACGAGTATGAAACAAGTTTTCTGTTTGCTCTTGCTCTTCTTCTTTACTTTGAATGTTTAGGGTCCTCCGAGCTACAAGTAACTCTCCACTAGCCGGGATAGCCTCATACTCCTCATTAGATTTAGAGTCGTCTAGCTTTTCTTCTTCGGACTCAATTTCTCCACTGTCTAAGAGGACTATTACCCTCTTGTTGGAGCACTCATTCGCGTAATGTCCTCGACCGTGACACTTGAAACATCGGACGTCTCTAGAACGAATTGTTGTAGCTTCTGGCTTGCTCTTGTGGTCTTGAGTTATTACCGGTGGCTTGGCATCTGATTTTGGATTCATCGCTGTCTTGTTATCTCTTTGGTAACTCGGCTTTTCTTCCTTTGGATAGTTGGCTTTAGTGGGAATACCAACTCCATAGCTAGTTTTAACCGGATACCTTCTTTTGAGCTGTTGTTCGATCAAGATCGCTTTATGTAGCATCTCCTCGATTTCTTCGTATTGTTGCATTTCTAGCCGATCTTGGATTTCTCGGTTCAGTCCTCCCAAGAATCTAGACATTGTAGCCTCACCATCTTCAGTAATCTCAGCTAGCAACATTAGAGTTTCCAGTTCTTGATAATAATCTTCCACTGTACGGTTGCCTTGGGTGAGTCTCCTGATCCGTTGATGTAGCTCCTGATGATAATGACTCGGCACAAACCTCTTTCTCAGCAAAGATTTCATTTCAGACCAAGATTTAACCGGATACTGCTGATTACGCCTTCTAGAAGTCACAATTTGATCCCACCAGCTTAGTGCATAGTCGTAGAACTTTGTCGCTGCCACGTTAACTCGGTTTATCTCAGTATAGTGTTGACAATTGAAGACCAACTCAATTTTTTTTTCCCAGTCTAGGTACGCATCAGGATCATTCTTGCCGTGAAATGGAGGAATGCGTAGCTTAAGGCCTCCCAAACCATCTGGAACCGTAGCCTTATCTTCTTTAGTTCGCCGATGCTTTCTTCTACTACCTCTAGACGAGCTGCTCTCTTGGCCATAGTATATATCGGCCTCCTCATCTCTGGTGCTCTTATTTGGATCTTGAACCTTTTCTTTTCCATGATCTCTTCTCCTCGTTTCTTTGTTTGATCTCGAATCAGAATGATGCTGTTGCATCTCTTGTCTGAATTCTTCAAGTTGAGAGGTCATGAGTTTCTTCATCTCGGCCATCATGGCTTCCATCATTAGTTTATTGAAACCATTACCACTGGTCTCCTCGTGTTGATCCGACATAGTTCCTGAGACCAAAGACAAACAGATCACTAGAGATTTGTCCCAAACTTGATTAAGTGCAAAGATTGACTCTTCGTGTTCCTCACGAAACCTAAAACCCTAGAATATGATCGGTTTTCATTTTTAACTTAAACAGATATTGCCGATGATGTAAATCGATGATAAAAGTTTAAAAGACACAATGATTTACTGATGAAAATTGACGATACAATCATAAACACTGGATCTATATGCGGACGTGATAGATCTAAGAATATGAGATCGAAAATGAAATGGATAGAAACAACCTGATGAAATCGCTTCTCCAGTGACTAGAATGTGCTCTGATACCACTTAATATGAACCTCCCTGAATCGGCACTCTAGAGACTGGATTTAACAAGCTTTAACTTCTGAAATTGTAACAAACTGAGGGGCAAAAGGAATGGATCGAGGGGTCGCACAAAGGCTGCGGAAGACCTTTGATTTACCGGTTTGATTATGAGGATATTACACACCTAAGAATCGGGTGTTTGAGAGATATGACACACTCACAAACTAAGATGTTCAAAGAACAAATGATCTTTACTTTAGAAAAGGTTTTTAGATAAAAGAAAGATGGTTTCTCAAATGAGATTACAAGAGAATATAAAGGATAGAAGAGAGTCTCGGCCATCAATATGCATACTTAGGAAATACAAGTGTGAGCTGTCTAAGTTGAATTCAAATGTCTTCGCATGCTCCTCTTCTCTTGGCCGAATCTCTTAGGATAAACTTAGTGGACCTTATTGAAAGGGTGATCCAACCTTGCCTCATTAAAAACCCATCACTAGAAAACCCATTGGGACAAAACTAGTGGTGGGGAAAAAGAGTACAAGATTGGATCACAAGTCCACTAGAACTCCTCCTATATCCTCCTTAAGCTTCTTGGTCCTTGATCTTGTCATGGGGCCATTCGGAATGACTAAAGCCTCCTCTTGCTCAGCTACAAGCTCCTCAGCTCAAAGCTTTCCTTCCTCAGGTTCTAGCTCTATGTCTTTAGTGCTGTCCATGATCATATCAAAATGGGAGCTTGGGTTGGTATGGAGGTGGTGGCACATATGTCTTTTCTGGTTCAGGTTCCTTTGCTACCTCTTTACCCTTTTCTTTCCTTAGTTTCTCAGCAACTTGATCATCTTTTAAGGCTGCCTCCCCCTCAGTTTGATCATTGTCCTCAATGATCACATTGTTGTTCTCAATACCAGGTAACTCCTTTCCACTCCTCAGTGTAATGGCCTTAGCATATTCCTTGGGGTTGGGTTCTGGTTTTCCAGGTAGGTGACCTTGGTTCCTTGAGCTTGAGGCCTGGTTCTGCTTCAATTCCTTGATTTCCTGTTGCATGGCTGCATTCTGGCTTGCAAATATCTGTTGACCCTGAAGTAGTTGTTGCAGAATACCAACCATATCTGACCCCATCTGTGGCTGCTGCTGAACCGTTGGTGGCTGAAACTGTTGTTGAACCGGCGCTTGCTGCTGGAACTGTGGTGGGCCAAACCCTGGTGGTGTCGTTTGCTGTTGTTGTGAACTGAAACCAGTACCCTGAAATGGTTGCTGTTGCTGACCAAATCCCTGATTGTGAGCAAACTGATTCTTGGGTTGGAAAGACCCTTGAAAGTTGTTCTTGGGAACAAAGTTCTTTGGAGCTTGAGAATTGGGATAGACCTGGTCTTGTGGGTTAGCTACATTGGGGTTCCTGTAAGAGAGGTTCTGATTTGCATTGCCATACTGATATCTCTGGAACCTCTGATTCCCAATGTAGTTAAGCTCTTCCTGGGTTAGACCTTCTTCACTTATGTTCTCAAAGATTTGAGAAGGTTCCTCATACTCACCAACAAAATGCATTGGCTTCTGAGTTGTGAATTTCAACTTGTCCAATTCACTCCTCAACTCCTTAACTTCTATACTGAGCCTCTGTTCTGAGCTTGAACCTTCAGATCTATTTGATCTGTCATAGTCTTCACCATAAGTGTCATTGCTCATTGCCAAGTTCTCCACTAGCTCTAAAGCAGCATGTATCTCCTTTCCCAGAAAGTTCCCATTGGAAGCAGTATCCAGCTGGTTTCTAATCTTGGGAAGAGCTCCTCTATATAGTGTGCTGAGAAGGGAAGCCTCACTAAATCCATGGTGTGGGCATTGGTTTGTGTAGCTCCTGAATCTCTCATATGCTTCACCAAAACTCTCATTGCTGTGCTGAGTGAAACTAGAGATTTGGTTTCTCAGTTTTGCAGTTCTGGAGGTGGAGAAGAACTTAGATAGGAAGGCTTGCTTGCATTGATCCCAGGTTTGAATGGAGCCTCTTGGAAGATTCTTCTCCCATTGATGAGCTTTGTCACCAAGATTGAAGGGGAATAATCTTAGCTTGAAACTGTCTTCAGAAACTCCATTTATCTTTGTCAGGTCACACACTTTATCAAATTGATCCAAGTGTTCCAAGGGATCCTCCATTGCTAATCCATGGAACTTTGAGTTCTGGACCATATTCAACAAGGATGCCTTCACTTCAAAGTTGTTGTTTTGCACAGGTGGTGCCTGAATTCCAGCTCCATACTGATGAGCATTTGCCCTGTCATTCTCTCCAACATAGACTTGTGGCTGCTCATATCTCCTTTGCTGGTGTTGGAAAGACTGATGTTGGTGGTGCACCTGTTGTCTTTGTTGTACATTGGCCTGATGCCTCTGCTGATGAGCTGGAGCTTGTCCCTGGTGAACATAAGCTTGCTGTTGATGCACCTGTTCCTGATGAACATTCCCCTGATGTAACCCTTGACCAACTCCATTACCAGCTCCATTACCCTGAGCCTGTTGCTCCTGAACCGGTTGTTCTATGTCCACCACATGCTCCTTTTGTTCTTCCATATCAGCCTGATCAATCTGTCTTCCGCGTCTGTCCCTTCTCCTCCTTGGTACCAAAAGATTGATGTTGTCGTTGAGAGGGAAAGGTGGACCACAGCTTCTTGATTTAAACCTGGTGTTCATGCACCTGAAATCACAAACAGAACTTGAAAGTAATCAGTAAAAAGAAAAAATAAGCACTTGATCTCAAGAACAGATCAGAGCTTAATGCTAAACAATCCACAATTTGGCAACGGCGCCAATTGATAGATAGGACTTTTTAGGGTCTCAGGGCTATCAATCCCCTTGCCAATGTAGCACAAAGAGGTTATCAATCCAAGAATGTGGTGATAGACACTAAGCTATGTGATCAGTTTCTCAATTCAAGCAAGCAAGTGTGGTTTTGATTTACTAATGACAACTATAAACTTAAAACAAGATTAATGACTGAGAAATGATCAAACAAAGAACTAAGCAAATGAAAAGTGATGAGAATATATGTATGATGATGAGAAAGGTCTTAGACATGATAGTGGATTAGGGTGCCTTCAGTGATAAACTAGTGAGCTAATGAACCATATGATCAAGCAAACCATTCAACTTAAACATCATTAATTAAGTTAATCCTCTCATGAAGGTATCAACTCCTATGCCAAAACAGTTTCTAACCTAATCATCATTAGTGAAACATGAATTAACAAGCATTAAGAATCAGTTTAATCTGTCATTTAAGCATATAGACAATCATTCCCATGATGAATAACACTTAAACCTCTAACAACCTTGGTTCAGACATTTCATCAAACACTTTTGGTGCATGAAATGTCCAGAATCTAGACCACATATGATTTGTATGGATCTAGCATTAAGAACAGGTTGTAGAGAATGGAATATGCATGATCTAACCCCTAAGCTCACTAATCTACCACTTAAGCACCCTAATCTACATATCTAAGACCTTAATATGGGATTACTCACTAATCATGATCAACACACTAGATCCTTTGCAAGATGTGTTGTTAATCATGATTAGAAGTGTGATTTGATGATGAGAAATGATAGAACAAGATGGAAAACACTCTTCAAATCGATATTAAACTCAAAAGCAAGGTATTAACAAGTGGTTCTTTCACCAAAAAGGAAAAGGAGACTAAAGATAGGATAAAGTTCTCTCCAAATTAGGTCTAAAAAGTATTTATAGAAGCCTTGGGCAAACCGGGTCAGCCCGGAACAAACCGGGTACTGACCCGGCTTTGGTGGGTAAAGAAGAAGTTTGCCACGGTCTAACAGGTTTTGGTCAAGCTGTGGCAAGTGACCGTGTCAAGTCCTGTGTCTCTTGTTCTTGGATGAATCATGGTGCCACGGGTTCCCTCTGGTCGTGATGCATGGTCGTGCCAAAAGATTGCACAAAGTTGCCACGGCCAAGTCTAAAGCCGTGGCGTGGAGACCGTGTCAAATGCCGAGAGATTGCACAAGGTTGCCACGGCCAAGTCTAAATCCGTGGCGTGGAGACCGTGTCAAATGTCGAATGTAAGTAAAATCCTTCCGCGGCCAAATGTTACCTTGCCACATTCAAGTGTAGGCCGTGGCATGAAGATCGTGTCAAACCTTGAAGAACTGCAATCAAGTGCCACGGTCAGATGTGGACTGTGGCATTCCACCGTGCCATCTTTCCCTTAGCATAATTTAAGCTTTGATAAGGGTTATCAATCTCGCAGCGTTCAGGGCTCCTCGCACCACTTCGCGTTCAGGGAAGCATAACGTCTAGGGTACTGGTCCGAATGGTGTGATTCCAGTTTCAGAGGATAGAGGACTCAGACATCTTCAACTTTGGTGAAGGAACCTTCGGTGCTTGGGAAGTCGAAGGTTTCCTGGAGGGCTCATCTTCGCAGTGCATTGACACGATCACCAAAGAGGCTTCTAGACATGCACCCATTCCGGAAACGTTATCTTCTTGCTCATAGCTCCGAATTGAATGATCTCAGACGTTCTGGAAAGAGGACTCAAATATCTCGGATTCTGATGCAGGCCTTGTAAACTGAATCGGTCTGGAAGTGCACCGTCCTTCGCATTCTTCGGAGCTTATCGGGTCGATCCAAAACGGCAGCGAGACAGGGGTTTCTTCCGACGAGCTTAACTCTCTGCTCACGC